TCAGCGTGGCCTGATGCAGCCTGGAGCAGTTCAGCCGAGGCTGGTGCAGCCTGTCGTGGATCAGCGTGGCCTGATGCAGCCTGGAGCAGTTCAGCAGAGGCTGGTGCAGCCTGTCGTGGATCAGCGTGGCTTAAAGCAGCTTGGAGCAGTTCAGCCTAGGCTGGTGCAGCCTGTCATGGATCAGCGTGTCTTAAAGCAGCTTGGAGCAGTTCAGCCTAGGCTGGTGCAGCCTGTCATGGATCAGCAAGGTCTGGTGCAGCTTGTCATGGATCAGCGTGGCTTAACGCAGCCTGGAATAGTTCAGCCTAGGCTGATGCAACCTGTCGTGGATCAGCATGATCTGGTGCAGCCTGTCAGGGATCAGCATGGTCTGGTGCAGCCTGTCAGGGATCAGCATGGTCTGGTGCAGCCTGTCAGGGATCAGCATGGTCTGGTGCAGCCTATCATAGATCAGCGTGACCTGGTACAACCTGGCATGGATCAGCCAAGTTCAGTGCAGCCTGGCATGGATCAGCATGGCTCTCAGCAGCTTGGGGAAGAAAGGAGTGATTCACAGCAGCCTAGCATGGATCAGAGTGACTCACTGCAGCCTGGGGCAGATCAGCCTGGCTTGTTGCAGCCTGGGGCAGATCAGCCTCGCTTGTTGCAGCCTGGAACAGATCAGCCTGGCTTGTTGCAGCCTAGGACAGGTTGGCTTGGTATGATGCAGCTAGGAAGACTTCAACCTGGTGCAATCCCTCAGGGCTTGGTTCAGCCTGGTGCAGGCCCTCTTGGCTTAGTTCAGCCTGGTGCAGGCCCTCTTGGCTTGGTTCAGCCTGGTGCAGGCCCTCATGGTTTGGTTCAGCCTGGCATAGGCCCTCTTGGCTTGGTTCAGCCTGGTGCAGGCCCTCATGGTTTGGTTCAGCCTGGCACAGGCCCTCATGGTTTGGTTCAGCCTGGCATAGGCCCTCATGGTTTGGTTCAGCCTGGCATAGGCCCTCGGGGCTTGGTCCAGCCTGGCGCAGGCCCTCAGGGATTGGTCCAGCCTGGCGCAGGCCCTCAGGGATTGGTCCAGCCTGGTGCAGGCCCTCAGGTCCAGCCTGGTGCAGGCCCTCAGGTTCAGCCTGGTGTGCACATGGCTCCACTTGGTACATATCCATCTGGTTCTAAACAAACCATTACTAGTCAGCCAAGCTTCATAGCATCAGGCATAGAGCTTCATGGCTTTCCAGATTCATATCAGCGGCAAATGCTAACTTCTGAACCAGTACAAGGCCAAGCTGGGCAAGATATACTTCCCGTCCTGGATCAGGACTCGGACCAACAAGTTCCAGGTGAAGGCCCAACAATCCCAGGTACAGTTCAGTACGATCAAACACAGGCTGTCCCGAGTCACGGTGGCCCAGAACCCAGAGCTTACACATCTGGCCACATGATTTGGGATCCGAGCAGGAAACTTACCTCAGTCCAATTTGAATTGGCTACCCCAGGGGGCTCACACCAAGCTACCACTGACTCCAGGATTCGAGACTTGAGCTATCTCCACCGATTCTCATCAGCAAGTGAGACCCGCAGTGATCGACAGGAGTCCCTGGAAAAACTGGCTCCCAGCTTTCCCATGGCAATGGAGACTTTCCGTCTGATGGGCGAGATCATTGGCATTTATGTGGAACTGAAGGATCGCATGAAGGACTTGGATGAGGAGCACGCCGGCCAGACTGACTTGGAGAAAATCCAGTACCTGCTCTCCATGATGGGTGAGTGTCATTTGCTGCGGAGGGGAAGCAGCCTTGGCTCTTCTCGGTGCTCCCTCTCTCCTCGGTAGAGGATGCGCTACCCTTACCTGACTCCATTCTTCGCCACAGCCTGTGGGGAGGCAGACTCCAGTGAGGCAGGCTCTCACACCTTTGTCAGGGCAGCAGGGGCTGTACTAAGGGAGGTCAAAGCCTGGGGGTGACGGGGGATGAGAGGGTTGCCCGGTCCCAACAACTCCAGTGGTAGATGGAAATGGCGGGGTCAGTGGGTGAGGCTCTTTGCGCAAATACTGGCCCTCCCCGCTCGTCTCCCTCCTTGCCCAGTCACCAGAGAAACAAGATCAAGTAGTCTTCCCACTTGATCTCGGGGGTCAATTCCTTATCAAGGGACTGGAAACAGGTGGGGAGACCCATGGGAATCTTACACCCTGATGGTAGCCTCCGTGTTCCATAGTCAAGAAGACCATACCTCAGGACCTGCAAGACCAGCTGAAGAGCCTAAAGGCCTTGAACAGAGAAGTTCGGCAGGACAAGGCCAAAGTGCGTAAGGGAGGGCCAGCCCCCTTAGCATTCTCAGGTGAATCGGAAACTTAGTGGTTCCTGCTAGGCTAGATGCCCACAGGCCACCTCCCTCCGCTGTGGTCCCAGCACATCCTTATTACCCAGTCATCATATAGAAAACACAACCCGCTGTCAGTCATGAAGATGGATACTCAGAGCCCCATTAACACACATTTGCTCCTCATATCACAAGTGACAGCCTTGGAGTCCTATTAGGGACTCTCTAGAAACAGAAGCCATTTTGCAAGAGGCTGCTGGGTCTCCGTTGCGAGCAGCTTTATCCATGAGATAGAAGAGGGCTGGATATCCTGAGGTCCACCTTCAGGAGTAGACACTCGGATCTGTCTGACACTTAACCTCCTTTGTGCTTGTAGCTAGAAAAGATCCAGAAGTTGCTGGATACCGAAGGCTCTACAACGAAGGATGTGAAGCCTAGTCATCTGAGCCTGCAGCTGGGCATCCTCAGGTGACACCCTCTCTCTGCAGCTGGTGCCCTGGCTGGCATCATGGTTAAGGCCCAGGCAGTGGAGGTACCTTCTGTCTCCCCATGTCCTCTACTGACCACTGTCTCTCATCTGGATTGTACCAACTCTTCAGGTTGTCCCAGACTTTTCAAGATCTGGTAGAAGCTCCCCTACATTCCTGAGGTCGGTACCAGGACTGGGGAGGAGCACAAAGATGCTGTGTCCCACCAGAGGACCCCATCTGAGACCCCTAGACAGAGGCTCCTGATGTCCTTACCCTGCTATGTCTCTGACAGCCCGGCCTCTGCACTGCCGAGCCAGGGGTTCTGGGCTGGTGGCGGAAGCAGCTGTTCTTTGAACATTGCAGAGTCACCGTGTCTGACATCGAGAAGGAGCTGTCTGAGCTGAGGGAGAGCCAAGAGCGAGGCAAGGCCGCCATGGAGAATTCAGTCTCCGAAGCCTCTCTCTACCTGCAGGATCAGGTGAGCAGTCTGTGGCCAAGGCTCCAAGGCCCTCCTAGAGTCAGGGGCAGAGAGAAGGCGGCCTAGCCCTGTTTGGGGGCACGTGTGGAGTTGCTGTTCTGCTGCTGTGGTAAAATGCCATGACCAAAAGCAACTTAGAGGAGGATAGAGTCCATCATGGTGAGGAAGGCCTCCTAACAGGCAGGGAAGGTATGGCGGCCGGAACAGGAAGCTAGCAGATTACATTTCCATCTGCACAAAAAAGCAACAACTTCCGGAGCATGTGTTCAAACACACAGGCCTTTGGGGGGCGCTTCTCACCCAAAGCACTGCAGTATGGGAGGAGGTGTGGGAGGGGGCTCAGCCCCATCCTGATGTGAGGCTGGATCTGAGGCTCTAAGGACAAGGGCATCGGTGCAGGAGTTGAGACAGGGTCCTTCACTGCCTGCTTCCTGTTGTGTATTTCCTTTAATTCACATATCATAAGCCACACCTTTTAACCGTATTTTATTATTTTAATAAATATTATTAATAATTGTTTGTTTTTTGAGATTATAGTAGAATTACATCATTTCCTCCTTCCTTCAAGCCCTCCCATAAACCCTCCCTTGTTCTCTTTCGAATTCATGGTTTCTTTTTCTTTCATTGGTGTGTGTGATGTGTGTGTATTCATAAAGATAAAAGTACAACCTGCTTGGCCGGGCGGTGGTGGCGCACACCTTTAATCCCAGCACTCGGGAGGCAGAGCCAGGCGGATCTCTGTGAGTTCGAGGCCAGCCTGGGCTACCAAGTGAG